ACATGCAAAGATAAGAATTTTCAGAACCTTTCCTAATAATCATGTGGTTTGCTTGGATTCTTTCCAAAGAATGAAAAAAAACAGAGTAGGGATGTCCAAGGAGGAGAAAAGGTGAGAATTATAGTATAACACCTAATCAAGTGAATTAAATTGACGTCTCTGTGGAAATCATCCCTTTAAAGTAGTCCAGAATTGTCTTTATTTACAACTTAGTGCCTCTGGTTTTCTTCTGTCTTGAAACTACTATACTCAGTGCAGAAATTACAAGTAGATGAATTAACATCAAAGAAATATTTTTAAATTATTGTGTTTAAAGGCAGATTTTTCCCCCCTAAAGTGCATCTTTAAACTGAATGCCTGTGTGACTGTTCTGAATGAATGGCACTTTCACTGAGAGTTTGAGACTTATTTCAAAAAACTGTCTCTTATCATAGTTTTTCTAGATTTTACCTGTTATTTCCAGGACCTCTCTCTCAATAACTCTCTTCAATCTTGAAGTGAAATCATTTTACTCAGTAATTTAATTCATTACCTTTAGGTATTTGTTGATTGTGTAAATATTCAAGAATCAATTTTCTCATCTCTTCATTAAAACCAAAGAATATTGAACAGCTATTTAAAGTATTGTGTAGCTCTGGTCTTTGGATATTTGTTAATAGCTAGCAAACCACTCTCTCTTTTGAGAGAGAGTACACTACCAGAAAGTGTAGTAAGTTTTCAGAAATAACCATGAAACTAAAAACAAAACAGTGCTTCAGAGGAAGAGAGGACCATTATTTAAAGTACTAGTTCTAATGAAGATGAAATTAGCTACATACTGGGTTAGTATTTTACATCTATTCACCACTTCATCTTGAAACTGGGAATCATGTCAAAGTGACTCTTTCAGCAGAAAAAGATGTACAAGTGGAATGTGCTTAACAGAGATTTGTTTGTGAAACGCTTTCTGAATGATTCTTGACCCCCAGCACCTTTGCCTATTTCTAGGTATTAAAACCCAGATAGCTTCCAGCCACGGTTTTATGCTCGGCCTCCGCTGCTGTGCTGTGGGAGAGGGCGGGAAGAAAGTCCATTCTCTCTCTCCTTAGTCTTCCTCAGCGTTGTGCATTATTTTCCAGCTATTCTAAGCAGCCTTTCCAAGATGAGCGCACCACGCTAGGAAAATCCATAAAATTTATTTTATTGCGCACTTGTAACAATTTCTTAGAAACTTGATAAACTCTACTTTTCTTGGACTACCAGAAAATAGGTACGTAATTTGGATTCTTCACAAGGAGATCTCGTGAGAATTTCTCAAGTTCTCATTGATTCTACTTCTGGTTGGTTCTACTTCTCGTTGATTCTGTTCTCTCTCTAGGATCTTCAGTTCTCTGGGTGAGAATCTCCAACCACCTCTCTCATGAAGTGTCACTCGATTAGCAGCAATGCTCTCTTCTGTATCTGACTCTTTCTTCCCAATGTGTCCAGTCTGAAGTATTCGTTTGCAGAAAAGCTTCTAGCATTCTTAGGTCAGTCAAAGATACAGGCAAAACGAAACGTCGTACTCCTACCTCTGGTTTTCTTACTCTTTGGCCCACGTCATCGCATCTTCTAGCTGAAGTTTCTTTCGAACAACTGTATTAATGTGAACTGAAGAAGGCATATTTATTAAACTACAAAGTGCTAAGGGCAAATGTACACAACTCTAGGAGGGTAAATATTAATTTTCAGGAATAGTAAGATCCAAGCTCAGATTGAGAAATCAAATATTTCTTTAACAAACAAATCCTATTTCCCTTCCCATGGAGTCATCCTATCAGCTTTTAGTGTTGCAAACCATACCAAAACTTCGTGGTTTAAAAGAGCAACTGCTTATTTATTGTATGAATCTATGAGTTGGAACCCCGGCTGGGACAATCTGGTCATTTTGCTCGCTGGGGCTCACATTGTGTCTGCTGTCAGCTTGTGATTTTACTGGGTCACAGTACTTTGGTCTCACGTGCATGGCTCACTGGTAGTTGGAGTGACAGAACCGTCCAGGCCATGTGTCTCTCAACATCCAGCACACAGTTTGCTTTGTCCCGCACATGCCTGTTCTCACCATACAGCAAGCTTAGTATCATCCCACAGACTCAGTCTATAGTACTTAATTGCATGCCAACGGAAGGGTTTGTAGACCAACAAGTAGGCAAATCTCAAAGCACAAAGCATCTTCAGTCCTCTCCTGTATTATGTTTGCTACAGTGCCAGCGAGTAGTTCAAATCATGTGACTGATCCAGATTTAAGGGTTGGAGAAATAGGCTCCACCTAAGGATTGGAAGATCTACAAAATTATATGACAAAACTATGGGCATAGAGAGGAGGAGTTTGTGACCAAAAAATCAGCAAGACCTATTTTGTGCAGAGTAGCAATTGACTTTTCTTCTGCTAAGAGCTTTTGAGAATAAGAAGGGGATCAAGGGACCACATTAGGTTTTAAAGGCTGGTTCTTTATCCCCGGAAGAATTTTTCTCTAACACAAGGGACAGGATGAGCTTAGGGAAAGAGAGAAGTCATCTAATTTTTCTCATTGCCAGTGCTATTGGTGGAGTGAAAATGGTAAACATGTTAAGGCCAAATAGGACGGACTGGGTATATCATGCTTTGACTTGTGAGGGTCACACTTTATGATCACCTTCGTGAGTATGAAAAAATTGCATTTACCATTTGGCTGTGTAAGAGAACTTATTGTGTTTTTTCCCTTTACTTTTGAACTTGTTTAAAAAGATTTAGATAAGTTATAAACTCATATCTGCAGCCAAACAGATACTGGCACCATAGAAATTTCACATAATTTGAAAAATCCCCAAATCTCTTGGGTTAAGAAGCTACCTCCTAAATACCTCCTTAAGAAGGTAAATGTATTTTTAGAGAGTGAGAATGGGAGAAATGAAATATATGGATAAAAACTAGTTTTGATACAATGCCATCCATGCAGAAAAACATATATGAAGAAGGAAGAAAAGAAATATAATGGTCTATTACACTGGGATATCCTAAGGAGTCATAGGGGAAAATGTTCAAATTCCAATTACAGGTGAAAAGAAGTCAAATTCTGAAAATGTTAATCATTTACTTCATATTTCTGCCTAGTGCCTGTGTCTATTACATGATCAAATCTGCATGTACATTTTCTTCCAATCTGGTATTTAGACTTCATCTTTTTATTATTATTATTATTATTTTTTGTTAAATTCTTTTATTGGTACATTTTAGGTATACAACACAATTACATTTCTCATTGGGAATTGTACCTTTACATAATGGATCTTGGTTCTTATTTTTTCCCCATTCCTAGCCCTCCCTTCAGCCCCTCCACCCTTCCCTATTTACAAAGACTTTATTTCCATTTTTTCCATTTCTCATCATTTTTCCTTTCCCTTCTTTCCTTTCCCCTAGTCCTCTCACTACTCCTACCTCTTTGGACCTTTTCTTCCTATTTTGCATTATCGATTATTCATTTTAATCATTGGTACATTTTAGGTATACAATACAATGACATTCATCATTAGAAATTTGCACCTTTACATAATCTCTCTTGGTTCTTATTTTTCACCTTTGCCCAGCCCTCCCTTCAACCCCTCCATTCCTCCCTATTTACAAGATTTTGTTCCTATTTTTCCATTTTCTCATATTAATCCCATTCCCTTCTATCCTTTCCCCTAGCCCTCCCACTTCCTTCCCCTTTGCCCCTTTTCTTCCTATTTCACATTATCTATTATACATTTTAGTCCTTATTTACACTTTCAGTTTCTCACACTAGAGAAACTATTTGGTATTTATACATGTGTGTCCTATTTATTTCACTTAAGAGTATTGCCTCAATGTGCATTCACTTAGCTATAAATGTCTCTAATTTCTCATTTTTTATGGCTGAGTAGTACTCCATTTTATAAAAAAAACACATTTTCTTTATCCAGTCTCCACTTGATGGGCATTTGGGCTGTTTCCAAGTTTTGGCTATTATAAACTGTGCTGCTATGAACATGGGTGCACATATACCACTGTGGTATGATTCTTTTAATTCTTTGGGGAAGATCCCCAGCAATGGAATAGTGGGGTCAAATGGGACCAGTTTTCCAGTCCTAGTTCTTTGAGGTATCTCCATACTGATTTCCACAGTGGTTGCACCAGTCTACACTCCTACCAGCAGTGGAGCAGGGTTCCTCTTTCCCCACAGCCCCGCCAGCATTTGTTATTGGTTGATTTCATGATAACAGCCATTCTTTCTGGAGTGAGGTGGAATCTCAGCATTGTTTTCATTTGCATCTCTCGAATGACCAGTGATGTTGAATGTTTTTTCATGTATTTATTTGCTATTTCTACTTCTTTGTCTGAGAAATGTCTCGATAAAGGAGCCAAACACCCTCACTGGAGGAAAGATAGCCTCTTTAATAAATGGTTCTGGAAAAGTTGGGCTTCAACTTGCCAAAGATTAAAACTAGACCTATATCTCTCACCATGCACTAAACTAAAATCAAAATGGATTAAAGATCTAAATATTAAAATAGAAACTCTGAACCAGTTGGAACAGAGGTTAGGTAGAATCCTTGAAGACATTGGTGTAGGAAAAGATTTTATGAACAAAACCTCAGTTGCCCGTGAACTAGCACAAATGATCAGCAAGTGGGATCTCTTCTTATTAAAAAGCTTCTGCACAGCAAGAGAAACCACCAACAGTGTGAAGAGACAACCCACAAGGTGGGAAAAAATCTTCATCTGCTCTTCCTCAGACAAAGGTCTGCTATCTCAAATCTATAAAGAACTTAAAAAGATCAGACCTCCCAAATTTAAAGACCCAGTCTGAAAATGGGCATCTGAAATAGACTTCATCTTTTATTAAAAAAGAGTGATAATAACAGACCAAAAAACACATTGCCAAACTGCACTCAAACTGATGCAAAGCTTTACTAATGAAACAACACATTTTTGACCATAGTTTTTTCTTTTATTTAAAAAATAATAGGATTTACTGCTCTTGAGACTTTTATTTTGAAAAAAGAGGAAAAAACTTATAGAAAAATTAAAGAGACATACTCCTTTGCAAATAGACTCATAAAAACTTGGCTGTAAGAGTCAAAAAGGATGATCAGAGCCTGCCCTTTATGATTTGTGCATATTTCCACTCATTATTTTTTTGAAACTATAGAACATTTATTACATAGAGACACTATTAGAAAATACACATGCTGAGCTAGTGAGGCATGTACCCAATATCCTTGTGGTTTGTCATAAGTCAGAATGCACACAATATATCCCACAGATGTGCACTTGAGTAAATGACTAATAAAGTGAACATGCTTGAAGCAAATTTGCCGTTATAAATGTGCAGCAAACCAAGGCATGGTGTGATGAGAAATTTGGTGGAGAAGCTACATGTAGGCCATCTGGGATGGGATCAAATGAGCAGTTTTCTGAAAGAGGAAAGAGTTTATAGAGGATATGGTATTTCATGAGTTATTTCTGTGAAGAAGAGGCCGGGGTGTGGTCATCTGGGTCTTCATTCTTGTGATGTGGTCAATAGGTTGAGAATAGCCCCTTCGTCTTGGCTTTGGATTTTTGAACATCTTCACACTGGCAATAAATGGAAAGCGGATGTAAAATTAAGCAACTAGAATATAGTTCCCATTGAAAGTCATTTGGGGGGCTTTTGCTTCCTGCTTCAGGTTACTTCAATACAAATATAATTGCAGGCTCTTTGGTTGCCTCCCGCGACATTCTAAGAGAGGGTTCTTCTTGCAGAAAGCTGCCCAGGCCACCCTGCCATCGAGGCACTTCCTGTTCTTGGACCTTGTTTCCTTACATATCTGTAGGCAGCTCTTACTTTTATCTTCTCAGCTAAATTAGTTCCTGCATGTTAAAAAAGGGGAAGTGGTGAACCGCCCCCACGGAAGGCTTTATTTGGTTTTTAAATGCAGGTTTGTTACAATCCTGTTGTGGTTATTATAGGAGACAATTTTAGCACTTTGAGCTATTCCTTTTTCAGAGGAAGTGTTTAAAGTAGAATTTTGCAAAATCTTGAAGGTTAACATTTCAGCCCTGCAAGTTGTTAAAGGTCAGGATATGTTTTGTGATTAAGTTTGAGAATTCTTGGGGAATGAGAATGGTAAGATTTAATACAAAAGTATGGCATAGTGTGTGATTCCTACAACTTCTTATCCAACATACCCTGAACATTCTTTGCATTTCATTTCTTCCTCAACTGAATTCCTTGTTGACTACAATTCAAAGGGCTTTTCTAATCGTTAGTGGGTGGTAATCTCACACACAAACAATACCACAGTGTTACCATGGTGAAAGGAGGACGGATATAAGTTTTAATCTTTCTTAAATTATGGATCTATGTGGCTTGTATTTCAACATGTGCAAAATTCCTCAGCACAAAACATTATTACTGCTTGTTTAGGATATGTATGACTGGAATTAATCTATTTGTTGTTGCTATGATGTTATAACTTGAAATTTCATACATGTTTTAGAAATTAGGTAAATTAGTATTTTTATACCAAAAGAGATACTAGTTAATGGAAAATTTCAAAGTTTTTGGTTGCATTTTTTAAACCATTAATTTTAATTTTGAATTGGTGTTTGAATTTTTCACCAAAGGAATAGTTATTTTTAACACCATATAGAGAAATCACATCATATGCAAAGAATCTTACTGATTCAACTCCTAGAAAAAAGTAGGTATTTTGTGAAGTCATGGAATATATTATAGCCAAGCAATTTATAGTTTGAAGGAAATATGAACTACTTATAAAACCTAAAAAAGCTTTTGCTAGAGAATGAAAGAGGAAATAGGTGAGAACCTGAAATATTTGTGACTGAATCAGGGAGAAGGATGCTAGTCTTACTTAAGCAGATAGGAATAAATTCTCCTAATAATAGCATATTGTACTTCATAAACTTGCTATGGGCCAATGTGCTAAACAATTTACAAATAGTATCATCATCAATACTAACAACAACTAGATAAGGTAGATTCTACTATTCCCTCCAATTCGCAGATGAGTCAATTAGGACATAAAGCAATTGATGTTCTTGTCCTTTAAGTAATTATTGGAGAAGCTAGGTTTGAACACAGGAATATTCTGATCCAAACATCTTGATATATTGATATATTCTGAGATAGTTAGATTAATTTGCAAGGTTGGGTAGGAGCACATGGTTATTAGCTATGGTGAAGCTTAATATCCTAGTCTGGAAGTTCGGCCCAAGATCTGCTGGACTCATTCTCTTCAATGATTAAGCACCTCTTCATTCCTTTTGTTTTCTGATTAAATTCTTCTGCTGTCTTATCAATAGCTTGAATTTGTTTTATTACTTAGTTCTCCGCAATCTTTCAATTTTTTTCTCATAAGGAACTGTATTGTTGAGGAGGGGACCAACAGTTGGAGGCAAGGAGGTAGGATGGAAGGGGAAGGGGAAGAAGAAGAATGAAGATGTGTTAGGTCTCTGCACCAACTCCGCATGAGGCATGTAATCCTTACGTACTGCGAACGTGGATTAATAAAAATTAAAATTAAAAAAGTAGAATTTGACCTGGTTTTCATTCATTTAAAAAACTTCCCAAGTATAAAATGTTCTATCGCAACACAAATTGCTAGTTTTCAAGAAGCGTTTATTACAATTTTATTTTCTTGAAAACAGAACAGAAAGTGCTGACAGTGTCTCTCACTGTAGGGGGAACAGAACTTAAGCAAGTGCGTTGTAATGCAGAGTTTGTGTTAGAAAGCAGGAGAAGAGGTGCTGCCATTCGCCTCTGATCTGCTCAGTGGTTAGTGATCCAGGTGGGTGTGTTGCACACCTCCCTGTAAGGCAGTCTTTCAAGCTCTCAGTGTGGCTTTTCCTGTTTGCAGCTCCCCAGCTCTGTGGCCCACTCCCAGAGCTCAGCAGGTTCCTGAGTGGCAGCTCCACCTCTGCTCCTTCTCCATTTCTAATCTCACAATGCATAACTCAAGATCCTGCATCCTGCTTGCCACTGTGACATTTTAATCCACTGCCCCCACTTCCTGTGTTGTTCTTTTATTTTCAATTCTATCAGTGATAAAAATATCATTTAATTCACTATCACAGTTTTCACATTTTATTTTCATTTGTTTCACAGAGCAGTCTGCATTGCATTTTTTTTGTGTGTGTGCCAAACTATGGGTAAAAGCTTTAAAGAACTAGAATGGCTTTTTTCTTTGATGACAGTTAGGACAGTGTTGAGTGCTAATTGTCACTGCTTTCAATTATACTATGAAGACTGAAACAAAATGTCCCAAATCACCCCTCCTGGTGGCCCATTTCTCAACCTTTTCATTTCACTCAGTAGTTACCTAGGAGTGTGATCTATAAAGGATTGTTGTAATCTATAAAAGATTTATTCCTTGTATAAAGGTAATCTATAAAGGATTGTTGACAGCATATTTGATATATTGTCTTATGACTTCATATCTAGTCTGTCAGCAACTTGGGCTTCCAACTTTTCCCCTGCTTCTTAAATTTATCCATTCATTCCATTTTCTAATGTCCTATATTAGATTCTTACGATAACATGTTTGAGTTATGAATTCAGGTTGATGTCTAGTATGCACCCTTTCCCAAACCTGAACTTCATACTTTTCCAAAACATCCTTTCCATTGTGCCACCCCCTTTATGGAAGCCATAATGTCCTCTTGACCTTTCAGTTTCAAGTGTTTTGGCCATACTAGACCTATGTATATTTATTTGTCATAGCTCCCTAATAAATCCAATCTACTTTGTACAGATTGATTACATTCTATTTCTCCCTACTATACTCCTTCCCATCTTCCTTTGATTGAGTTAATTTGGGGGATTAATCTTCCTGTTTCCTTCCTGAAACATTAATTAGATACTCTATCAAACCTAAATTTAAATCTAAATAAAATACACACATATAGAGAGAGATAGATGGATAGATAGATAGATATGACAACTTACTATCTTTCCCAAATGCCTATGGGAAAAATATTTGTTCCATAAATTAGCTTTTAATTCTTTGAAAAAATTATTTTATATCTTTGCTTTACTCAACATTTAGATTGTCATATCCTTAGTGTTCAGTGTAGATGTAATCTCTGTTATTTAGATATTGGTTGGTGTTCTACAAGTATTCTGGTTCTTACCATGGTCCTCATTATCAACGAAGGCCTCTCTGTATTTTGAGAGGAAAATAATACTCAACATCTGAAGGCTTGTATTTATTCTTGATAAGTAAGGGTTGTCTTTTTTTCAATTTCTAGACTAAATAGCACTGTAAGCAGTGACCATAGATTTCTTTGTGTACATGAAGATACTTTGTAAATCAAATTAATGTTATTTTAACAAGGAACATCTGTAAGTCAGATGTTATGCTCCCTATAAGCTTAAAAGTTCAGAAGGTCTTTCCTCTTATTTTCTTAGGGCACAATATTAACCAATTAAGAGACATGAAAGTGAGTTGAAAAGGCAGAATCTTACTTTGTTTCCTCCGATCTGTGTAGTAGGCTGTCACTCCTGGGCCAGTGAACACATGGCTCTGTCTTCTGCTTTCTGGGCTGCCTGGAAGATGGGCTTAGGGTGGGACTCTGCTCGTTTCCTTTCTGCCACCTCCCAAAGCCCTGATTTGTTTGCTTTATTGAAGAGCTCTGGGCTACCTTGTTGGCCTGGCTTCCTGTCCACAGATGTCCTCTTGTCTCCATGGCCTCAGCTCAACTGGGAAAATCAACCAAAAGCCTCAAAGTTGAATGAGTTTTTAATGACTTCCCCAAATTTCTCCGTTGCCTTCAATGCTGTCATTGGCTGGATCACAGGAGATGGTAGGAGGGGTTACTCAAATATTTAGCATTTTACACATTAAAAATGCCCAGTTGTTTGCTGGTTGAAACAGCCTGAGTTAGGAGCTAGGAATGGGAAATTCTGGGGCTGAGCATTACCTTCTTTTGTGTGTGTGTGTGTGTGTGTGTGTGTGTGTGTGTG